CTCACGACCATACAACATCATGGATGGACTAAGACCTGTGCTGTCATGCGGAGCTGTGCGAAGTGCAAAACAGATTTGTGGTAAAAACCTGTCCCATGCGGTGTGTTTGTCACTCACATAGGCACGGATAGCTGTTTTAAGTGTCCTGTTCACACGCTCTGTCGCGTTTGTTTGCGGGTGATAAGCTGTAGTAAGCCTATGTGTTGAGCCTAGAGCTGACACAGTGTGTTCAAACAACTCACTAACAAAGGGAGAGCCCCTGTCTGAAATGAGATAGGTGGGGCTGCCATGTCTAGCAAATATTTCACTTAAGAACTTGCTAGCTGCAACCTGAGCTGTGGCCTCTCTAACTGCACACACCTCAATCCACTTCGAAAAATAGTCCACAAAGACCAGCAAATAAGAATTCCCTGATTGAGTACGGGGCAAGGGACCCACACAGTCCACTCCTGTGTATTCCCAGGGATTTTGGGGCACAATAGGGACCATGAGATCAGCTTGTTTCTGTTGACTTGGTTTTGTGAGTTGGAAGACCGAGCAAGAGGTGACATAATGTTTGACATCACCTGCCATGCCAGGCCAAAAGAACCTGTGTCGTAGTCTCATCAGTGTTTTGGAAACACCGAGATGGCCAGCAGTGGGGTGGTCATGGTAATAGCTCAGCAGGGTTCCACGAAGAGATGTTGGGGCAAAAAGCTTGAGTTCTTTTAACGGGTACAAACTGCACACAGTCTTTTGGTCCCTGTAATACAGCAAACTGTCATAGACAGTATATTGTTCTTGGAATTTACTGTCCATCGGAACTGATGAGTCTGATTCAATGTCTCTGAGGAGCTGACCCGTCACAGGGTCATCCATTTGCAGCTGCCTCATGTGCGAACGATTCGACAATAACACTGGGGGCAGGGAACGGAGGTCCAAACTGCCTATAACAGCGTGTTCTGGAAGGATATCAGTGGGCTTGTCATTTTGGTTAGGCAGGGGATTCCTGGAAAGAGCATCAGGAACTGCATTGTGTTGTCCTGGCTTGTGGACAATTGAAAAGTCAAAGTCTTGTAGTCTCAAAGACCACCTAGCCAGCCGGCCAGAGGGGTTTGGACGGGACATGAGCCACCTAAGGCTGTTGTGGTCTGTGAAAACAGTCACGCGAAGGCCCTCAACATATGGTCTGAAGTGTTCCAGAGCCCAAATGACGGCCAAACATTCCTTTTCAGGGGTTGAGTATGGTTTTTCAGCCTTGTGTAGAGAACGACTTGCATAGGACACGACAATGTCTCGGCCCTCTTCATCTTTTTGCATTAAAGCAGCGCCCAATCCTACATCACAGGCATCAACATGAACGTAGAAGGGTCTAGCAAAGTCTGGAAATCTTAACACTGGGGCTGACGTGATTCGGTCTTTTAAAACATTCATGGCTTGCTGACAATTGTCATCCCAGTGAAAAACAGCCTCTTTCTGTGTGAGCTTGTGGAGTGGGTCAGCATGCCGTGCATAATCTTGGACAAAGCGCCGATAGTAGCCAGTGAGTCCCAGAAACTGCCTGACCTGTTTCACTGTGGATGGTGACGGAAAATCAATGACAGCTTTGATTTTATCATGGTCAGGTTTTATGCCTTCAGGTGTGATGCGATAACCCAAAAATGTGAACTCACTCAAACAGAACTGACATTTTTTCAGTTTTAAAGTGAGGCCAGCTGCTTCAAGTCTGTCCAGGACCTCCTCCAAATCTTTCAAGTGCTGCTCGAATGTGGGGGATGCCACCACGATGTCATCAAGGTACACAGCACATGTTTTGTAGATCAGGCCCGCCAACACAGAATTCATGAGCCTTTGAAATGTTGCTGGTGCATTGCATAATCCGAACGGCAGCACACGGAACTGGTAGAGGCCACAGTGAGACACAAAAGCCGTTTTTGGTCGGGATTCCTCTGAAACGGCAACTTGCCAATATCCTCGAGCCAAATCCAGGGTTGAGATGTACTTTCCTCTTGCCAGAAAGTCGAGGGATTCGTCAATTCGTGGTAATGGATAGGAGTCTTTTTGTGAGACTTGGTTTAAACCCCTATAGTCCACGCAGTATCTGGGATCAGAACCAGGTCTATTCACAATCACCACCGGAGCAGCCCATGGGCTGGTAGAGGGTTCGATTATGTTGTCCTCCAGCATTTGTCGCACTTGATCCTCAATCAAACGCTTTTTGGTTGGTGAAGAGCGATAGGGGGGAAGATTTATGGGCTTGGCGGTTCCGGTATCGATCATATGTTCCGCCATTGCAGTGTGTCCAAGATGCCCATCGAAAGTGGAGCTGTGGTGGGAAAGAAGATCGTACAGATCTGATTTTTGCGTTTCCTCCAGGCTCGCCTCAGCCACTTTTGACTCAATGGTGTCTGACAAAATGTTCAGTGACATAACAGTCTGTTCAACAGGGAAAAGTTCAAGACTGTGGTTCTCATTTTCATCCAAGCCAGGATAGGGACTGTCATCAATAAAAACTGTCCTTGTTGGTATATGGATGGTTACTGAGGCTCTCATCATAAAATCCATCCCTAATATGAAAGGAGAAGACAGGTGATGGATGATGGCAAAGCGTTGATAAAAGCGCTTGTTCATGAAACCGATACTCAGCCAAGTCACACCATCCGGAAGGCAGGGAGCATTCTCCGCTAGGCTCACTGGTGGCCCCTGCCACTGATGTATTTTTTGTGGACCAATCCTATTAACTTTAATGAGATCTGCACGTACAGCCGAAAGTGAAGCGCCTGTGTCCAGAGTCGCCTCAATGCAGGTTCCATTAAAGTTCAGCTTAGTCTTAAATGGAGTGTTCCAGGTAGCGGTAGAATCATTGTCCTCCACATGACCAAGAATGTGGAATTCATTTGTAGGAAGGTGAGGCTCAGTTAACGTCTGGAGGGAGGATTGCCTCGACGAAATATCCTCCCCCCCTTGAAGTTTCCCGATGGCCTTTGGGGTGCCACATCTACGGGTGGCCTGAAGCTTCTATTGTCCGTTTCAGCTTCAGGTATGGCCAAAGAAGTAGTGGGAGTGAGATCATTATGGGACCGAGCCGACACAACCTTGTCCTGATTACAAGCAGGACACGTTTTTGACGTATATCCAGGACTTGAGCACTTATAACAGCGTAGCTCAGCCCCCTGCTGCTTCCAGTGTCTCTGCTGAAGATTCTGGTAGCTATCAGGTCCCAGCACAGCATGTAATTCATGAGCCCTGAGCAGCAACTCCATCACAGAAGACACAGGCGAGCCATACAGCGCCACCCTGTACTTTTCAAGTGAATGTTTACATATTAGTTGAATACGCTCTTTTTCCGGTGGCGGGCAACTTAGCTTATTAAACTCACTCAACATATGAGCTACAAATGTTGGGAGTGGTTCATCAACTGACTGGACACGGTCTAGTATGCCTCTGAGAATTCTTTCTTGGTTGTCAGTGGGCAGAAAGACTGTTCTGAAAAGTTGGCAGAAATGTACCCATGAGCTAATGTGTGAGCTAAGGGCTTTAAACCACTTACTAGGCTCTTTTCTTAGAAAATGGGGCAACTCATTTAGAATCTGGACATCAGTTAAATTCAGAGTGGACTTGTATGCTGACACAGCTTGTAACCAGTCCTCTGCCTGCACTTCACCATCCCCAGCAAATACTGGTGGTTCCAGCTTGGCGTGATGTAGTGCAGCAGCAATCACTCTTGTGGTGTTGGTTAGCTCAGCTGAATGAGTCTGTAGAAAAGAGCTGTGCAGGTCCCTCTGAGTTCCAGGATAAAGGTGTGGGATATTCACAGGAGGCACATATGGTGTTGAGGTGGCCACAGGAGCTGCAGGAGACTGTTGTGCAGAAGGTCCCCCAGACTCACAGGAATTAACCCTGTCTAGATGATTCAGCATTTTTTGTTGCAGGGACAATGTGTTTTGAAGGACATCCCTCAGCTGCTGGACGTCATCCTTTAATTCTTGTACTTGCTGACAGAGGTCTGGAGCCCTCTGATGTGGCGGAACAGATTGAAGAGAGTCAATATCCATGTCAGAGTCAAAAACAGAAAAATCTGGTTCAGATGCCATTTTGTTTTGTTCAACCTTTACGGTAGTGTCCAAATTAAATGCCTTAGGATTATGAAAAAAAAAACGTTTGTTTTCTTTAATGTTCAGTTTGTTTTGCTTTTATTTTTATATCAGCAGTAGGGCTCGTAGGCGAGCAAATGTCCAAATATAAAATATGAAATCTCCTCAGGCAGATTATCGAATAAGCTTACAGAGGTGTGTTGCTTTCCGCTGCCACAGCTGCGGTATTTGTACAGCACAGTCCGTGTCCTTCCGCAGTTCAACAAGTGGAAATCCACAATATAGTCCGCATGACTGAGCTCCACTGAAAAAAAAATAGCCCCCAAAACTCACCAAGCTCTTCAGCAATCGTGAGTGAATTTAGTTAATATTTGGAGGTCTGGTCATTTAAATCTTCCACTTCAGCAGACTTTCAGGAATTAAATCCAACCGGGACAGCTCATCACGACGTCCAGCGAGGTGCAGGCAATAAATGGCTCCAGCAACCTTTAACACTGATCACGACGTACTCCGCTCAGAAACTGTATCCACCTCGCGGAACAGACGTCCACAAAGAACTTGAAAACAATCACCTCTAATCCGAAGCTGAATCGGTATCCAGGAGGGAAAGGTCCAAAATATGTTCGGGCGCCAATTTGTGACGGTGCGGCGAGAGGTTGGAGAAGGAGTTAGCAGCAGTGGTTAGCCACTCTAACCCAAAACAGCAGGACGCACTTTTGAAGTATTCCACACTTTCNTCGGAGCTTTAGAACCAGAATCAGGTTTAATGATTTTATCAAGATGTTTTTGTTTCTGACAGAAGTTTCCACAAGGCGGGAATGTTTTCCTGACTGGTTTATTATCAGTTTTACTCATAAACTCCAGAAATAAAGACCCTGAGCTGCAAACTGTCCCTGCTCCGTCCACCGGTACCGCTCGGCTCCGAACCTGCTCGCTGTAAGCTCGGTTCGGGGTCTCCAGGTGAGGTCCAGCAGTCTCCGCTGCCGGTCGATCTCCTCCTCGTACTGGACGATGGTTTTTTCCAGCTGGGTGAAGATTTCTTCAGCAGCAGCAGTTAGTCTCTCTCTGATAAACTCTCTCAGAGGCTCAACGGAACACATTGTTGCTGCGCAGACTCACAACACACCTGGACAAGCTCTGGGAAACGGCTAACCATGCTAACCGGAAGTTAGTGACACTGCTACTTCCTGCTCCGGTTAGAAACAGCGCCCCCACCGCCCAGTGCTGGAGAATAGCCCAGAAATCTGACGCAGAACCAGTTTCGTCTTCGTCTTCTTCATCCATATTTTTAGCTTATAGCCAACTATGATGTATTTATAATTTATGCTGCTAAGCTTTATATTCATTTTGGGTTTTTTGTTCTTTGTAACTCTGTAGCATGAACAGAGAATGTACACTGACTTTTACAGGGCCTATTTTCGTAATAAAAGCAAAAAATAACGTCTTCTTCTTCAGGTTGGCTGAATATTGCTACTCCATGTTTGGTTCTGGTTCTGGATTCAGAGCATACCAGAACCAGAAGACCCATGTGGTCTGGAAGTTATTACAGCAATTCTTTAACGTATTGTCTTATTTTATATGCAAATATCCATCAGTTATAGCAGAAATATTAAAGTGATAGAAAACCTGATGCAGTTTCTTCCTCAGTGAGATTCTGACACTGGGAGCAGCTTACTGGTTTCTCAGTCAGAAGCTGGTTACAAACTGAGGCAGCAGGTGTCAGTCAGTCATGGTGGATCTGAACTTTGACCTCAATATGAGAAACTTCAGCCTGACAGGAGGAACCACAGAGCTCTGTTAGGTTAAAGCTCATCTTGTGAAGTTGGGATGTTTTTCCTCCAACAGGATCCAGAGGAATCACCTCAGATGTTGGACTGGATTTTATTTCAATGTCATCTGTGAATGTTGCTCCTCATTTTCAACAGCAGAGCTATAAAGGTTGATAAAGCTCATCATTTTGGAGAAAGTCTCATCAACGTCAATATTTCCACTAAATAAGAGACGAGAATAAATATCATGTTTGATGGAGGAAAAGCCAGTAAAGCTCCTCTTAGGCTCTGAGCTCAAAGCAAGATGCCAGAGAACACCAAACTATTTTTAGAAAATATTAGACAATGAATAAAATTTCATATAATTATCACGGTAGTAGCCATTTGTCAGTTAAAGAATAAATGAAATATATTTGTCCTCTTTGATGTTTGTGAAGTAAACTCAGACGAACGAGGTCATTAGTCCAAGTCTGTCGTTTATTGAACGTTCAGAAACTACAGCGGCTGTAATGAGCCACAGGTAAACAAAACGACCTGAACAGGTGATCAGCTCGAAACCATGAAGACCTTTTCACTCTTTGTCGTTTAAGCACACCCGTTGCCGTGGCAACCGCCTGCGTCCCGCAAGCCGAGCAGAGATTACGTTAGAAACAAAACATTCAGTCCGTTACGATATGAGGTTGTCAGGCTTGATGTTTATTTCACGATTATTAATCAGCTATTATTAATAAGCGATTATTAATTTGTTGGTATATTTCTTTAATCTTTAAAAAAGTTACAGACGTTTTGGATCTCAGTGAATGTTTTTCTAAGCGCGTCAGGAGGACTGGCTGGTTTCCGCACTGAGCAAATCCAGAGAAAACATGCAGGGCAGTCAGATCTGTTTTCTGTTGCTCGGCTTCTCACACAGGGACCAAATCCTCAAGTTGTTTGTGATGGTAGGACTGAGCGACCTAAATCTCAAGATGATTGGTTAATTTTTGTCCCATGGAGTAACAAAACATTACCAAGTGTGAGCTTCAGGCTGGAGAAAGTTCATTTTCTCATTTGAAAAGAAAATAATTATGTTCTCTTACATCTCAGAATCATAAATATTTTTGAAGTATTTAATACAAATGCTATGACTTATTATTTTAGACCAATAAATGATATCAAGCATTTAAAAATTAGCAACTGTAAATACTTTTCATCCAGTAATGTGTCATATTTTATATTAAGGTATGGTAATTGTAGTTATATAGCACATTTTCAGCAACAAGACATTAGAACGGGATTTGTCAAAAAGCCTACAGTCTCGTCTTTTCAGGAAGTCAAATTCTGCTATCAGCTTCCATATATCAGCAATAAAAAGAAATTATAGATACAATGTTTACTGATATTTATCAGGCTAAGGTGAACATGACACAAGTAAGAAAACGACTAATTGTCGAGTTAAAAAACACAAACTGTGTAAGAAGAACGCCACAGAAAACCAGGTTTATCATTGTTTTAATAGCAGCTGTCGATTATACTGAAAGTTACAACATGGGTCCGTGTATTTTCAGGCAGTTCGTTTTTCGTTTGAAATGAAAAATGAAAAAACGGAAATAGACTCGTTTTTCCGTTTTTCATTTATTAAACTAAAATCGGAAATGGGATTTGTGGCTCGTTATCTGATTTCCCATTGATCATATGGGTCGTTCACTGAGAAATTGATCAGACACGCTGAGTCGGTTGGATCCGCCTCTCTGGCTGTAGTGCGCACTCCCGACACAGGGGGGCAGAATTTCTCACGAGACCGGAAGTGGACTTGAGCTTCCTGCGTTAGCTCTGTGAGCAGCACCGTGTGGCGCGGGTCTGCTGAGGAAAGCCTTTTAGGTTCGTGTTGCTGAAGGCAGCTTTCTGGCTCTGAATCTTTACTTTTGGAGCTTTGAATCGGAACCTAGCCGACCCGAAGTCAGTTTCCAGCCTGATTTTTGTTCTGATGTGAGCTAACAGTCCGCTAGCCTTCAGCTAACCGCCAGGTTTTTTTTCTTCTCCTCAGAACCGAAGTTGTCCTGACCCGGTTCTGGTGACACAACTTCTCCCTTCCAGCACCGAGCAGTGACTGCTTCCAAGGCGCATTGAGGACGAATCAACCGAACCGAACGGAACCAGCAACTGCACAAAGAGCTCCTTTGTTCGGTTGACCGTTGGGAGTTTTGAGCGGTAAGCTGAGAAGCTTCGGCTGTATTTCTCTGCTTTAACATGATTTATGTGTCATAAAACAGTAAATATGAATATTTAATGAACATCTCGGAGCGAAATCTCTGATCTGCAGATGTTTTTCAATCTGAGGAAACAAATTTTCTGAAACTAATCTTCATATTTAAGTTGTTTTAAGCTGAACTCGATCTGTAAAGGAGTTTTGTATTGAAACCAAAGCAGAAACATAAGAATCTGATGTGTTTTATCTTAAGTAGAAAGTCAGGGCCGTTCCTAGCTTTTTGGCCCTGATAGGAGGCCCAGGTAAGGTTCAACCATGATGCTCAGCAGTCTGATGATCTGCTGCAAAATAAAATGAAATAATTTAGCTCCGGTGCTACAAAATGCAAGATTATTTAAACTGTGTGTTGGTATGCTAGTTTTCATATTTTTTAAACAGTTTAAAATGACTGAATAAATACTCAGATAGTTATTAATGAAGGTTTGTCTCCAGCAGCAACAGGAAGTGCAGTTTGGATCCAAGATGGAAGATCTGGTGGAACCGACTCTGCTGCAGGTGAAGGAGGAAGAGGAGCTGGAACTGATGCAGATAAAGGAGGAAGAGGAAGAAATGGTGCAGATAAAGGAGGAAGAAGAAGAAATGGTGCAGATGAAGGAGGAAGAGGAAGAAATGGTGCAGATGAAGGAGGAAGAGCAGGCTCGGGAGATAAAGGAGGAAGAGGAGGAACTTGGCATTAAGCAGGAAGAAAGTGATGATGAAGGCTCAGGATCCAGCAGAGGTAACGGTTTTTCTCAGAGTTCTTTGCTCTCATCTGATCACCTCTGAGGAACCTAGACTGTCTGCTAGTCAGTTAGCGTTAGCCAACTCTAGCTAGCTAGTTAGCTAGCTAGCTAGAGTCAGCTAGCTGGGGGTTCCACCATGAGTTCTAGTTATGCTAACAGAACCTGGTAGACAGACTGGGTTCATACTGGGTCCAGACCATTAAGAGTTTCAAAACTAGTTCGGGAGCCGACCGCTAGCCGATCCAGATTTACCAGTGTCCGCTCTGCGGCTCCGCTGTAAAAATAAGCCTGTTAGTCAGAGCATTGACATTAGTGCTGCAGGGCGGCGGCGCAGGGTGGCCTGCCCAGGGGGCGGTCGCGCTGCTGCCATCCACTGCAGTTCGACTTGGAACAAATTCAGTCAATCAACAAAGATCACCAACAGGAAATCGACATGACTCCGGCTCCGCCCCCATGCTGATGTAGAGCAATCCTCCCCCAATCATTTCTCAGCACTCCGACAGTATTGAGAGTATCTGTCATAGAAAACCTGCTGCAGTCAGAGAGATTTTGAGGAAAATAATAGATAATCACAGTCTAAGTTGTCAGTGGGGAACATGCAGTCCCCACAGCCCTCATTTTTCCTCTTGGGCTTTATTGTTGATTTCTCTGTTATTTCCTGCTAATGACCTCACGGACCTGACCCAGGACTAGTTGGAGAATTTTCTTGCCTGCCATCTTTGCCTCAGTTTTGGTTTATAAGACAAAAATGACTGAAATAATGTCTCGGGTAACTCACTGCGGTCCGTTAGTCTGCCTTAATAACAGTTGGCCTGTTGGAGGACGGCTCTACTTCTGCAGGGGGCCGGAGTCATGTCAACTGAATGAGCACAGCATCCATACTTTCAAAATAATTCACCACATACAAACATTTTCTCTAAACCAGGGGGCCCAAAGTCGGTCCTGGAGGCCCGGCATCCTGCACGTTTAGTTTTCTCCCTGGTGGCAGTAAGAACCTTTTCAGCTTGTCAATGTTCCTCTTAGGTCTCTAACGATCCATCATTTGATCCAGGTGTTAAACCAGGGAGAGAATAAAACATGCAGGACCCTCCAGGACCCACTCTGGGCCTCCAGGACCCACTCTGACCCTCCAGGAGCCACTCTGGGCCTCCAGGACCCACTCTGGGCCCCCCTGCTCTAAACCTTTATCTGCATTAACCTTTTCGCCCGTTTGATTCCTGTTTGCACACCTGTTTTCAAATGCTGGTATATTTACAACCACATAAGAGAGCAATCATTGTTTTGCATATTAAACCATAAGAGTTACACTTTTCTAACAGTCGACGTGTCCAGAGCGTCGTTTCCTTTCCCTGACGGCTCCACGGAACAAGGAGAACCCAGACTGGGTCCATCCCCATGCTTTATAGATCGGGTCGATAGTCTACAACACCTCCTGGGTTGGATCCCACATCTTCACGTTGACAGCATAAAATATCACGAGATTTAATTTATTCTGTGCTACTGCATACAGCAAGCAGTAACTTCATTTCCCACAGATTGTATTTTTTCTGCTCGGTTTTAGAAAACCTTTTTTTTTTCTCTAAATTATTTAGATACATGCAGCCAACACACACACACACACACACACACA